ACTAATTCTTTCTAGCAAATTTAATAATAATTAGATAATTGAATCTCCAACTCATAGCATTTTTTCCTTTTTTGGAATAAGATATTTAAAGCTTCTCTTAAGCCTAAGTATGAGTAGTTTCCCAGGAATGAGTCTCACCAAAATTAAGCCCTTTATGTTAAACCCACTTTCATTAGTTAATGAATGAGAACTGTCAGAATATTGGTTTTAGCACTCCCTACAAGCTGTTTGTTAATATGAGACACATCTATTTTTATTTATTAATTAATTCCAATTTAGACTAATGATTAGGACATTTGTTTTATTATGAAATTTCATTATATATAGCTCTTATTATTTCTAACATATTTACTTTAATTTTTTTGTCATCTAATCATAGCCCTCTAACTACAAACCCTATAGTTTGTGACTGTGGTGTCCACTTTGTAACACACTATAAATTCATTTTCTTCAAGATTCACAGGTGAATTTGACATAAATCTATTCGTACTTTTCTACTTTCTAGGCTAGTGAAGGTAGAAACATCTGATGTTAAAACAATAATCATATTCAATGGAGAAATGGGAAACACAGAAATGTTGATATATAAGTACTGTAAAAATACAAATATTTAAGCGATAATTACTGTGGCTTTTTTTTTTGTCAATGAGATGTTTTCAAACAGATTCAGAAATGTCTGTTCTTTTAAAATCAATATTCCACATAGCTCAAATGCCATAGGGAATAAAAATCCATGACAATTGCTTAGAGTCTGTAAGAGGCCCATCTTATTTTGAGCTTATTTCACTTATATTTACATGTAATCAATTTTGAGTTTGATCACTGTTTTAGTTCATGCAGTGTTTTTATAGTAGATGCCATCATACTGTCTTAATATGAAGGTACTTGGCTATATCTGTAAACTGGTTCTCATTTAACCTTCTCATTGCACATTCTCGTCTCTGCTGAGGGTATTGTTTTTCACATTGTCCAACTGGTCAACTCTTGCTTTGTTGATACAAACTTAGTTGTGTGTCTTCAAAAAGGTTTTCTCCTTTCTTTCAACCTCTGCTTTCTGATAGAGTTTTTGTTTGTTTGTTTGCTTTATTTTTGTTCGGTTTTATTGAGGTACAACTGACATATAACATTGTATCAATTTAAGGTTTATACATAATGATTTGATATATGTACCTATTGGAAAATGATTACCACAATAAGTTTAATTAACATTCCTCATCTCATGGAGTTAGAAATTTTTGATTTGCTTGTGATGAGAACTTTTAAGACCTAATAGAGTTAATCAGCTTCTGTGAAACACTTGTGACTGGAAGTGTCATGGTTGTATTTTCCTCACTGTATTTTGATATGGGCATCTTCTTGACTACACTGTCTCCTCATCCAGACTGAATTTTTTGAAGACAAAATCTCTATTTTAGTCATCTATCCCCGCTCCCCCACCCCAATCCATGTCTAGAATAATTTCTGGTGTGGTTTAAGGTAGATATAAACACATATTTATCACATCAAAAGCAATGCAATTACCATTCTTATTATAAATATTATTATAATACCTAGAAGTGACAAGGAAAGTTGGATCACCAGGTATGATATGATTAAATGTCATGAAGGAGTCCATATGACAATCAATCCATTATATAGATGTATATAGCCCTCTAGTTCTTTAAGATTAAAAAAGAGAATTATTTTCTTTTTTTTATTTTCATGAATTTTAGAACCTATGTGGCTTTTCTTCATTTCACTATCTTCTTTTTTTTTTTAATGAATAAGAGGGACACATCCTGTAGGAATACTCTGAAAACTCCATCAAGCTTCCAAACTTGAAAAATATTGCCAAGTTATGCACATCTTAAGATTTTTCTCTTATCAAGCCAAGAAACGTGAAACTTATTAGCAGTTCTCATGTATGGTTTTACAAGGAAAAGGAAAATGCAGAAGTTAGTGTTCCTATGGCAATGAAGTTTCAGTTCTTACTCCTTTACCAAGGAGCTGTGGCTATGTATTCCTCACTGAACAGACAGCTAATGAAACCTCCTAAGACCAAAAAGTTGCTTTGAAAAAAAATTTTTTGGATCTGCTTTTCTCCTTCTTTCTCTGTTAATTCTCACTTGTGTTTAAAGAAAAACCTGTGCTTATGTACTGTTAACTTGGTAAATTTTTCATAGAGCTTGCTTTCCTTTAATTTCATATAAGCCATCTCTTTCCTATTTCCTTGTGCTTAACATATGAATCAGCCGGCATTTTACAGGCTCCTATTATATCATTCAGAAAAAAAAAAAAATCTAAAAATCAGAGCATCATTTCTGGAGCAGGAGCTCAAACTGATGGATAATATTGCAGTGACGCCACAAATGAAGCATCTTAGGCCCCCAAAGCTGTATCTACAATGTTAGTGGAGTAACAGTATCATACCTTAGAATTCAGTTTTGACTCACTAGAGGCTGTGTTCATTAGAGGCTGAATTAGACCACGGCAAAATATCTCTGACACAAGAATTCTTCCCACTCATAGACTGTATTGCTCTGGATTAAATTAAGATTCAATTCCAAGATCTGTACAAAGCAGCATTTTATGCCCAGGGAGTGGCTAAAGATAGCTTCACCAAAGTCCATGTATCTAATTGTTTATGAGAAAGGGTTGTAAGAAGCAGGGACAAGAAGAGCAGGTTTAATTCCAATTACGCAAGGTTTAATTTAAGAGTAGTAGTTCCTTTCTCTCTTTCTCTCTTCCCTTCTTTTTTGTAGTTGTGGGGTTCAGGATTTTTTTTCCCTTTGAGAAAAAACTTTTTAAATTCATAAAGTAAAATAGACTATTTTTTGGCATATATAAGTTTTAACACATGTATAGATACCTGTTATAACTACTACACTGAAGATACAGAACCGTTCCCTTATCACAGAACATTCCCTTATATGTTATCCTTTCATATGTGTCCTCTGCCCCCACCTCTAACCCTTGGCAACTACTGATCTGTGTTGTGTCACTACAGTTTCGTAATTTTGAGAATATACTAGCCCACTAGCAAGTTATAGTATGATGTAAATCTAGTGCATGGACGAATTATTTAGCAGCTTTGGAGGTAGGGAGCTAATGAGGGAGGTGGTTCCAAGGAGACGAATCTAAAGAATCACTTCCTCATCAGTTTGTATGCCCTTTTGGGTTCCTCTCTTCAATCTCATTTTATCTCCTTATTAATACAGAAGATCCAGGAAGACTAATTAAATTCTCCTTTCCTCTGTCCTCTAACAAAGATTCTCATAAGGAAGCATTAAGTTTATGTAATGGAGGGGAGCAGAGAATTTTTTTTTTTTCTGATGTGTTGTATAGCCACAGTCTACTGACAGATATAACCTAGTATTTTGATAATAGATGGTATTAAGGCAGGTACCTAGAAATCTCTTGCAGCCTTTAAATATACTACAGGTGTCTTTTTACCCACAGATAATGTTACCTAGTGACCCAATTCCTTAAGACTTTCCTGACCTTCGTCATGCATCTTGCCAGGCAATTAAAGAGCCATGTAGGCTGGCCCATAACCTCCTTTTCTTACATCCTTATTCCAAGTTATATACAGAGCAATGTCTCACCACAGAACCAACAACACTCCAGTTGATAGAAACATTTGAGTTCTTAGGCTTCATTAAT